ACGTGTCATGGCAGCATGAACGTATACGCTTATGACATGGTCCCCGATGAGCCCTAGGAATGACGCGCGCCGCCAGGGGGCGCCACGGTGCGACAGGACGCGAGGGGGCGCCACAGTGTAATACAAGGTGGCCAAGAATTAGACAGAGCCAGAGAGGAGAGCCAGAAAGGGGAGAGGAGAGAGAGAAAGGGAGAGAGAGAGAGAGGAGGAGAGAGAGAGAGGGAGAGACGGAAGAGAGAGGGAGAGTGAGGAAGAGGAGGAGGGCGAGATGATGGGAAGAGGGCCGAGAATCGACAGAGGCTAGAGCGCACCGGGGACTCCGAGGAATAATGAGAGGCCAGCGTTAGAGAGAGAGAAGAGGATAGAAATGAGAGAGAGAGAAGAGAGAGACAGATATAGAGGGAGAGCGCATATTGAGGAGATGAGCGGAGAGATTGAGAAACTGGACAGGTGGAGAGATGAGAGAGAGAGACGAGAGAGAGACGATTATATTCGAGAGAGAGATGACGAGACGACGAGAGACTTTAAGAGAGAGAGAGAGATTTATGAGCAAGAGGAGAGAGACAGATTGGAGGAGAGCTTATTATTATTATATTATATATAAAGGGGCGAGAGAGAGAAGTTATGAGTGGTTTTATATAAGGAAAGAGAAGAGAGAGAGAGGAGACGAGATATGGGAGGGGACAGAGAGGAGAGGAGAGTGAGAGAAGGAGAGAGAGAGAGAAAGAGAGAGAGAGAGAGAGAGAAGAGGAGATTATAGTCCACTGACATTCACACAAAAGTGGCACAAGATGAATTTGAGGCACGGCACTCTATATTACGGAAATGTAGGAACAATATTAGTGATATTTAACACCAAATCGCACAATCACAACGAGAGGAGAGTAGCCGATCAATCATGTGATTATCTCGTCGTTTTGTTAGATTTTATAACACACAGAAATCACAAGTAACAATTAATTGGCTATGGAGAATCAAATGAGTGGAATATTAGAAGTTAATAACCACTGCATGTGAATCCACATCAGGACGAGATGCTCTTTGTGTTAGGCGGATGCAGCACAGAGGGCGCTGTGTGCGTTCAGACACGTAGTGATGGGAAGAGAGATGTCGATTAGTTTGAGCGCAGCTCCACAGATGGCAGCACCGTGCAGCCGGGAGTATTTCTGCATTTCTTGTCCAATTAGGAGTAGATACAGATCCATGTGAATGCGCGTGCGCGTACTTCTATCTATTGTCTGTGTCTGGACACCAGAGCCTTGCTTGATAATGCAGCCGAGGAAGCGCTAAGATCCAATAGATATGTCTGGATCGACGATGACTGTTTGCATTACGCTGCCAAGGAAGTGTATATCTATTAGGCATGTCTGAGCAAGGGACCATAGCTATATTATAGTGAGTTGTTATCCATTAGATCTGTCTGAACAAGAGAGCTACCTGTGTGCAAAAACTGGGGAGCCGAAAGTTCCACATTTCCCCTGTAGGTGGCGCCCTGCTACTCGTGCTGCGAGACCGAAGAAATGGAGTTGTTGCCATGCATGGAAACGCGCACGACTCCGTCGGTTGCCATGGATACAGTGTCAACGTCGGAGAAAAGGGGAACGTAACGAACGCAAATCATATGCAAAGTCCCTCCCACAGCAACATTCCGTCGCCATGGAAACCAGATGAAAACAGTGATTGTGGCAGCAGAAACGTTAAGCCCTAACGCGTCTGTCTGTACAACACGATGAACACATAACGCATTTACGGTACACATATATATATATAATATTATGTATGTATAGAGAGACTATATCTAGGAATCTGATGTTTTATAAATCATTAAAAAATACTAATTACGTACAACTGATAATTAAACTATGGTGACATGTCCCTATATCTTTAACAACAAATAGTCACTAATTTCGCTACCATTATGAAAGGATCCCTTTAAGTTTAGCTTCTTCGTTTCTGTCATACCATATTGAAATTTCCTTCCTTCTTCTTAGGTTTATTTTTGACAAATTGAAGCTTTTTTAACTGCAATGTGCAGTGTGTTATCTATCGATTTGATCGATTTGATCGATTGAATACTAATCATTACGAGGTTGTGTTATGAAGTTAAAAAGTTTTCATTATAGTCACAATGACGACTGCAACGGTCATTCCAAAATTAATAACTGTTTCTAAAGATAGTTTCGCCACGCAGATATATGCAGTAACGTAACCATGGCAACGGTAAGATATTTGCAGTGTTGCGTTACAGCATGAAATCAATATGCATCGTCTGATAGTCCTTTCTTATTAACAGAACATCAAATTTCTGTGGTCTCTTTATCCAAACTTAGTACAATACACACGCAGTACATATATGTATGTATATATATATATATATGTATGTATATATATATATATGCACTATCAGGACCATATCTGCACAGTTGTGTTGTATTGTCATGATGTTATATATGTATTATATATGTACCGTATAATACACAGAGATTAACCAGTCCAAACATATATATATATATATATCACATCATATAATAGTATTACATACTTTATATATGTGTAATACAAGTATACATATGTTCGTGATAATATATGTATATATATATATATATATATATATACTATCAGGACCATATCTACACAGTTGTGTTGTTGTGTTGTATTGTCATGATATTATATATGTATATATATATATATATATATATGGTTTCTTTGTTATGGTTGAGACAAACGGTGGAATTTTTGTGTGATTGCTAGCGGTGAGGGTTTTAACCTGTTAATTAATCCTTGCTTGCGGTTCATCGTGTGCGATATATCGTGCTGCATCATTATTAATCCATATTAATTATATATATATAATAACAAGAGCGTATCAAGAAGGCCTTCTTTATACGCTCTTGATAATAACTATTGAATAATACTATATATATAAGTAAATATATATTAATAATGTATTCACTAAAATGTACATATGTAGGCGACGCGCGTACTATACACTGCAGTATATACACACATAATATATATATATAGGCCCTATATATAAGCGTATATGTATATATATACATATATATATTTAGCGTATATGTATAGAAATATGAATAAATGGGCCAGCGTTTCTGTCCACGTCTCTCTTACTGTGCAGTGTTCGTGTTTTATTATCATTGTTATAACTATTATTATAATAATAATTATTATTATTAATATTAGAATAGAATAGAGACTAGAAGAGATGACACCAATACGTAGCGGTACGGCAGAAAGCGCCACCACAATAGCATGAGGAAAAGCTATGTTGAATTTTGACGTCGTAGCGCCATCTCGCGTGAATTATAATTATAAAGTGCGCATACATGGAATAACCCAGATGGATATATCGTTGACATTATTATTTATTTGTTATTTGGTTAGTCACGCAAATAAAGTACTGCTCTCCCATCCTCCCTGCTCTCTCACCTTCTCTCTCTCCTGCCTACCTCACTCCTCTTTCTCCCCCCCTCTCTCTCTCTCTCATCGTCTCGTCTCGTCTCTCATCCCCCCGTGCCTCTGTCGTCTCTCTCGGGGAGTCTCTCAATGGCTCGTCGTCTCTCTCTCTCTTCTCTCCTCTCTACCTCACTCACTCCATCTCCTTTTCTTCTACGCATCACTCCTCCCTCCAGTCGTCTCGTGGGCGTCTTCGCCGTCTCTCTCCGATCTCAGCTTCACTCTCTCAGGTCTCTCTCTGCTCATTCATCATCTTTCTCTACCGGCCTGACACGTCCCTCGCCGTCTTCCCCTAAGATTCTTCGCCCTAAACAGCCGCGTACATCACTGCGCTCCCTCTTCCCTTCCTCTGCATTCTGCTAACCTCACTCATTGGCCCTCATCTTCTGTCGTGACGTTCTCCTCCTCTCTACAAGCTCCGCCCTCCTCTTGCCCTTCTCTCATGCTCATACCTCACTCCTCCCTTCTCCCTCTCTCTAGCCTCACTCTTACCCTCTCTTATCTCTCTACGTCACTCTCTGCCCTCTCTCTGCTCTCCTCGTCTCTCTCTGCGCTCTACCTCACTCCTGACCCTCTCCCGCTCTCTCTACGCTCACTCCTCTCCGCTCCCTTTCTGATCCTCTCTAGCTCACTCTGCCCTTCTCTCTCCTCTCGTACCTCACTCCTCGGCTCTCCCATTCTCCTCCTCTCTACCTCCCTCCTTCCTCTTCCTTGCTCTCCTCTCTACCTTCACGGTCCTCCTTGGCCTGCCCTTGCTCTCCTCTCTATACTCAACTCGCGCCTCCCTCTGCCCCCGTTATTTGCGCCGTCTCTAGCCCTCAACTCTTACCTATCTCCAGCCCTTCTCGTCCTCATCTACACTGATCACTCCTCTCCCCTCGGCGCCTTCTCCGTNATATGTCTGACTCTGACATCAAAGGATGAATATGAAGATCAGGTTGTCTGGCTTTCATGCTAAGCTTATTTTGAGGAACAAAGTAACAAGAACTATGAACAATAATTTATCTCATGTAGGAGAGGGCAAGTTTAAGTTATAATTAATCCCTGCCCGCGCCTATGTGGCACATACGGCGGTGCCTATCTCCGTTTCCGTAACCCGAGGCCACGCAGCTGCTTTCACAGTAAATGTAGGAGAGGTAATGTTGTTAAAACCTCGAGATCGTATTCTTGCTTTTTTCTGTTACTTTTGGAATTGGTGTTACTGCTGGCTGTTTCTTTTTTTAGGGTGGAAATACAACTATAGCGTCTACACTTCTCAGAAGCTGATGCACACCAAAACTGTTGTCTTACATCATATGGTGGCAGATCTATCTATCGACTCAGTACACGGCTCGAAATGTCACCTTGGACCAATCCGGAACACAAGCTTTCGAGTGGGAACCCCAGTGGATAGAATTTCGTCACCAGTCAAGAAGAATGAAGAGTATTGCTTGGTTCTAATACCAGTTGAATGCAACCTCATGACTCACCGTCACATCAACCTTGTTGGCCCTTAGACGAAGACTACCCAACCAAGTTGATAACCTGATTCTATGATATATATTGGTGTTTACTTGTAAATAAATGTTAACGGATGGCGGGGGCAAGCCGCTACCTCTCAGCACGTGCACATAATCTGGCTAGCTTGATTAGGCGTGGCACAGGTTCTCACGGCCGGCGCGCGATAGGCTGTGACCCGGGGGGCATTTATTCACTACAGCGTGTCACTGCTGGTTCATGCTTGCGCACAACTAGCACACGGATGTGAGTGGCGAAGCGACTTAAGGACCTTCAGCGCGTGGCTTCCGACGACAGTCACCATCGCGCAGGCCGCGCGCTTCCTCCCTTTAGGAATCAAGTTCAGATGGTGGGTCAGGATCGGTTTACGTTCGCGTGTGCCAGGGGGGTGAGACAACACCTTAGCTGGTCAGAGCATGGGAAATCGCACCTCCCCCCTCCCACGAGCATGGGAGTTAGGGTTGGGGTGTCCGGCTCGCAGGTTTACCCTGGCACAATCGCGCATAGGTTGAATGACGTCGTCGACGTTAGGGCGAGCGCGATACGTAGGGCGTGCGTCGCGCACGACTGTATTCCCTGCAATTACAATATTCATGTCCTAGCTACAAGGGTATATACAGTGTACGGATATATATATAAATATAAATACGTGTGGGATATATAACGGTTATATATGTACCTAGCTACAATCTTATACGTGTTGCCATATTTTGGGACTAAATTTGGGGGGAGTTGGCAATGAGCAAGGCACTTTATCCCAGTTCGCTTGGAAAAGGGAGTGACTTTGTCACTAGTGAGGAGATAAGCTTCCTTTGCCTCCCTAGCTGCAGGTTGTCCTTAGGCAAGGCATAGCACCTGTTTAGCCTCCCGTGCCAGGGTTACGGTGAAGATGTCTAATATAGTGGAGATGGACTGAACACGTAGCTCCTTGAACATAACAAAATTGGAGTGAAGGAGAAACATAGCTAAACGAGTGAACAAGATGAACAAAAAGAAAATGAAAATGAAGAAGGAGACGCCGCTGATGACGAGGACGACAACGACGAAGAAAAAGAAGAAGAAGAAGAAATAGACTAGGATGACGATGTGGGCAACGACCAAGATGATGACTTCTACAACGAAGAGGAAGCAAAAGAGGAATGTCTGATCATAGGTAACTTGTTTTTTTTTTAGATATTACAGCACAAGCAAATCTAATTCAGTCAATTGCAATATATAGATATAATCAGTGATCTATATAAGACATTATCTGGTTGGCAGAACCAAACTGAACAATTTTCACAAATTTCGACCAACTATACATGTTCTGTCACTTTGAAGGTATCTGTTTTCAGATTGAAAGAGGGATAATTGGTGCCAGAGTGTTGAGTCATGAGGTTGGGATTGGAGCAAGATGTTCTTTCCTCCATTCAAACACCATGCATGCTTATCATTTCGACCAGCAATACACAGTGAGTAGTTTCTGTCCGTGTCTTAGGGAAGAGCGCATCTTGTGGACATGTATCAGAGTAAAGAGCAGCATATAGTGAGAGTGTTTGAGAGAGGGTGAGGAATAAGGGGTGTATACATATAAGTGTGCATGTGTGCATGTATGTGTGCGTGTGTTCATGCATGTGTGTGTGTCGAGATAGAGAGAGAGAGAGAGAGAGAGAGAGAGAGAGAAAGAGAGACAGTGGATGGAGAGGGAGAAAGGGAATAAGGGATTTTTTTTGTCATCAAAATTTTATATTTTATGATTTCAAGAAATTAATTTTGTCTGGCTGGACTGTTATAGTTGGGATTGGACATAAGAAGTTAGAGCTGTCATTGATATGAAAATATTTAGATTCGATTATCAAAATAGTGTTTTCCGATATTTCGATCCGATTCGTATAATTAATATAAATATAATGTTTCAATTCCTTTTTGGCATGTATGGTAGACTTTGCTGTAATGGTAGATTTTTAACCTAAATTAGTACACCTGACGCTACATTGCATGGGACCAATGTTTCCCTGCTAAGAATGCAACGCCTAGTTTAAGCAACTAAAAAGAAAGAAAACACCTAAAAAGTTAAACCTTTATAATTTATTTATATTGCAACGAGTACAAAATGAAATAGGATGAACAGAATGTGACAGAATGAATCCGCGTCTACTCAATCCGCCAGGAAGCTCAGTAAAACTAGCTCATCCCTAAACTAAAGATACAGCACCAGTGCCACCACTAGTCGATAGTCCACCTTAGGAAGTTAGGTCACAATATGTCTCCTCCGAAGCAGCGCTATGCAGGGATGAGATTCTTCCGCGGATCCGCGGAAATCCGCGGATTTGACAGTCCCAGGGGTCGATTTTGTGAAACGTCTAAATTCGTTGAGAAAATTGGGAGGGGGGTAACAATGTAACAATTTAAATTATATACCCTCAACAGCACCTGACTGTAGACTGTAGAGTGTAGACAGTAGGCTGACAGCGAAGTATACAGTGTATCTGTTTTTGCGTACCAGAAAAGAAAATCCTCGTTCACAGGCTGCAGTAGAGGGGCAGACATTTGAGGTAGCTGATCACGTAACGACCATGCCTGGACTTGGGGCCGGGTTTACATGTTGCTGCGTGCTTGTTGTGTGCATGACTATGCACTGATTGTTCCATTCGCATTGTGTTTTTTTCATTCAAATCTGGTCGCAGCAAGGCAGCTTATGTCTGAGTAAAACAATGCAAGCGACGGGTGGAAACAGAAAAATGTCTAGACATTTAATAAAAAAACTTGCCCTATTTTCAGCCCCCTGATTTCCTATTATAGTTCGTTTGTTCCTTTTGACAACTTGAAAAGGTGATTCAAGAGTCTCCTATAATTTGTTCAGAATAGCTTAGAATGCACCAAATTGCACCATTCTTTTAAAAAAATTCCGGGGGAGCATGCAGGGCCCCCCTAGCATGGCTATGACCTACGGTCCTCGCATTGCTCGCTCCTCTGTTTGCTAATTAAAATTTCAGCTGAAAATTAAATTATCCAATCTCATCCCTGGCTATGCTTCTATACCTTGTATAGTTATAGTGTAAAGAGAAACTAATATGTTGGCATTGTCAGGCACCAAACTAGTTAAAAACACCACCTGCAGTAGAGAATACCCTCTCACATTTCAGCAGAATGCTACAGCAAAACGGTTCTTTACTAATACTATTTTACTGTATCGGATCGCTATTCTGGCATTTTTTTTATATCGATATCGCACGCAAATCCATCGCGATACATCGACAGCATTGGTATCGATGACAGTCCTAATAGAAATGTAAATTATATGAAATATCCATAAGTGAGTTGACTGATATGATTCGTTATAATGCCTCCTAACAGGTTGCTAATTAACTTAATCCCCTATACTTACGTATTAATAATCTCGCACTTAATCATTTCCCTTTTGTCTTTACTGTTGTTACAGAACAAGAAACCAGGAAGGAACCAGAACAAGGACAAGGAACCAGGAACCAGGACAAGGAACCAGGAACCAGGACTTCAAACTCACTTCTGTTGAGAAGCTGCGTAACACTGCCACACCCATGGATCAGCACACACCGGCAATGAGCCACCAAATCGTGTAAAAGGACATTTGCGCAGATATAGACACATCATCAAGCTAACGAGAGGCGTGAGTGCATGAAATCGTTGAAGCCAGGACTGTTATTGCAATGATGCACTACGTTAACGTGAAACTGTCTTGTTACCATCTGCATGTTGTTAATCGAATCCAGAGTAGTTTTTCATTGAGTTCGTTTTTAGAAATCAGTAGTTCAATGTTCGAAGTATTTGTAACTAGACATTTAAATGACAAAGATAGGAAATGTGTTGCTCGTGCCAGTGATAGTGACAGCTAGTAGACGTTTCTAATGTACGGTTTTCATTTGATTGTGAATGCAAATATCTATGACTGCTGATTGAACAATGACGATAAGCCAATTTCGCATTTTGACTGCACATGCTCATTAACTTAATTTCACTCCCAAGTCCTAGCTTTCGGCCATCATACAACAAATATACTTTCAGAAAATTCAAACTCTGGCCGCATAAATGTGATAATTTACGCATCACTTTCAGTCCACTTGCTAAAAAAACCTATCTGTGATTTGGCCACAATACGTCGAGTAATTTAGCTTTGAAGGTCATTCCTTGCCCAGTATATTTTCAGCATACGATCGGAGTGCCCTGAACCTTAGGGCTTACTGTTTATTACGTAACTTAAACTATGTCCAGGTTAGACCCTCATTATATTAAATTTGCTAGAGACATTTCTAATCTTAAAAGTAATATTTTAATATTTAATCGTAATATTTTTAAAGATGATCTACAACTCGTACAACCATTTGGTACCAAAAATGATGTTAGTGGAAGGAGAGATGACTTTATTGTGATGCAATAACCAAAACGTCCCCCAATGCATCGTACTCTCCGAAATGCGAAATTGGTTGACATGTACTTTATTTACATGTAATGGAATCAATTTACTAACTTCCAAGTCGTTTTTATAATTCGAAAAATTTTTCGAAACTCACTATTGAACTTATTAACCTACAGGGAAAAATCATTCACCTAACTTACTAGTATTTAAACCATTTTATTAACGTTAGAGAACAACGCATCTTTTGCGCAAGGCCAATTAGGCCATCTTGTATCCGGTCTCTCTGGATGGCAGTCGTTGGCCATTAGTGAAGTGATTCACTGGTGACCATGGTCGTAGATTTGGAAGCAAATTGATTCGTTTCATGTAAATTATATTTTTGNGCCTCTTAAGGGTGTGATTTTTTAATGGAGCTCTCCATCATGCCTCTTAAGGGTGTGATTATGGAGCGTGAAAAGTCCCCCTATGGTGTTCTAGGGGCATCATTAGTAGTCCTCCTGTACTTTTCAAATCTGAAAGCCTGGTGAGGAATAGGGGGTGTATACATATAAGTGTGCGTGTGTGCATGTATGTGTGCGTGCGTTCATGCATGTGTGTGTGTCGAGATAGAGAGAGAGAGAGAGAGAGAGAGAGAAAGAGAGACAGTGGATGGAGAGGGAGAAATGGTAAGGGATTTTTTTTGTCATCAAAATTTTATATTTTATGATTTCAAGAAATTAATTTTGTCTGGCTGAACTGTTATAGTTGGGATCGGACATAAGAAGTTAGAGCTGTCATTGATATGAAAATATTTAGATTCGATTATCAAAATAGTGTTTTCCGATACTTCGATCCGATTCGTATAATATAAATATAAGGTTTCAATTCCTTTTTGGCATGTATGATAGCCTTTGCTGTAATTTTTAACTTAAATTAGTACACCTGACGCTACATTGCACGGGACTAATGTTTCCCTGCTAGGAATGCAACGCCTAGTTTAAAAGCAACTAAAAAGAAAGAATACACCTTTATATTTATATTGCAACGAGAACAAAATGAAATGGAATGAACAGAATGTGACAGAATGACTCCATGTCTACTCAATCTGCCAGGAAGCTCAGTAAAGCTAGCTCATCCATAAACTCAAGATACAGCACCACTAGTCGGTAGTCCATCTTAGGAAGTTAGGTCACAATATGTCTCCTCCGAAGCAGCGCTATGCTTCTATACCTTGTATAGTTAGTGTGTAAAGAGAAACTAATATGTTGACATTGTCAGGCACCAAACCAGTTAAAAACACCACCTGCAGTAGAGAATACCCTCTCACATTTCAGCAGAATAATCTGATGTGTAACGTAACAACGCTACAGCAAAATGGTTTTTTACTAATACTATTTTACTGTATCGGATCGCTATTCAGGCATTTTTCCAATATCGATATCGCACGCGAATCCATCGCGATACATCGATGGCGTACGTTGGTATCGATGACAGTCCTAATAGAAATGTAAATTATATGAAATATCCATAAATGAGTTGACTGATATGATCTGTTATAATGCCTCCTAACAGGTTGCTCATTAACTTAATCACCTATACTTACGTATTAATAATCTCGCACTTAATCATTTCACTTTTGTCTTTACTGTTGTTACAGAACAAGGAACCAGGAAGGAACCGGAACAAGGAACAAGGAACAAGGAACCAGGAACCAGGACTTTAAACTCACTTCTGCTGAGAAGCTGCGTAACACTGCCACACCCACGGATCAGCACACGCCGGCAATGAGCCTCCAAATTGTGTAAAAGGACATTTGTGCAGACATACTAGACACATCATCAAGCTGACGAGAGGCGTGAGTGCATGAAATCGTTGAAGCCAGGACTGTTATTGCAATGATGCACTACGTTGACGTGAAACTGTCTTGTTACCATACTTCTGCATGTTGTTAATCGAATCCAGAGTTAGTTTTTCATTGAGTTCGTTTTTAGACATCAGTAGACATTTTAATGACAAAGATAGGAAATGTGTTGCTCGTGGCAGTGATAGTGGCAGCTAGTAGACGTTTTTAATGTACTGTTATTTTATACTGTACTTTATTTACATGTAAAGGAATCAATTTACTATCTTCCAAGTCGTTTTTATAATTCGAAATTTTTTTCGAAACTCAATTGAACTTATTAACCAACGGGGAATAATTATTCACTTAACTTACTAGCATTTAATCCATTTTATTTACGTTAGAGCCAATTCACTCGCTTCAAATTCAACTCTATTCTGTCGTAAGTACGTAATTTGCAGCAAAGATGTCACGTAAATTGTAAAGTTATAATTTGCAGTAAACCTCGCCACTAGATGGCAGTCGATGGCCATTAGTGAAGGGATTCACTGGTGGCCATGGTCGTAGCTTTGGAAGAAAATTGATTCGTTTCATGTA